TTTATTAGATAAATAGTGTTCCTTGGTATTAGTAGTTAAACTGCCAATATGCAATATAATATCCTGGACTTTATTAGATAAATAGTGTTCCTTGGTATTAGTAGTTAAACTGCCAATATGCAATATAATATCCTGGACTTTATTAGATAAATAGTGTTCCTTGGTATTAGTAGTTAAACTGCCAATATGCAATATAATATCCTGGACTTTATTAGATAAATAGTGTTCGTTAGTATTAGTAGTTAAACTGCCAATATGCAATATAATATCCTGGACTTTATTAGATAAATAGTGGTCCTTGGTATTAGTAGTTAAACTGCCAATATGCAGTATAATATACTGGACTTTATTAGATAAATAGTGTTCCTTGGTATTAGTAGTTAAACTGCCAATATGCAATATAATATCCTGGACTTTATTAGATAAATAGTGTTCCTTGGTATTAGTAGTTAAACTGCTAATATGCAATATAATATCCTGGACTTTATTAGATAAATAGTGTTCCTTAGTATTAGCAGTTAAACTGCCAATATGCAAAATAATATCCTGGACTTTATTAGATAAATAGTGTCCTTGGTATTAGTAGTTAAACTGCCAATATGCAATATAATATCCTGGACTTTATTAGTATTAGCAGTTAAACTGCCAATATGCAATATAATATCCTGGACTTTATTAGATAAACAGTATTCCTTAGCATTAGCAATTAAACTGTCAATATATACTAAAATATATCCTGGACTTTATTAGATAAATAGTGTTCCTTGGTATTAGCAGTCAAACTGCCAATATGCACTATAATATCCTTGACTTTATTAGATAGTGTTCCTTGGTATTAGCAGTTAAACTGCCAATATGCAATATAATATCATGGACTTTATTACCTTACACAAAAATTCTAATCCTAGTGTATTTTTGTGCTCTCCACAAGAAAATGGGGAAGTCTCCCATTATGTTAGCCTCTTTCTGCAAGGAACCAATGGTTCAATCTGTTAGACTGAGGTTAAGGAAACCTTTCTCTATAGCTTGAATTTGTTTACTATTAAACAACCTTTCAACCCATGCAACTCTTCTCGTCCTCAGCCTCTCCCAAAGCAACCTTTACCCTAAGCCTATCCATTTCTTGTCTTGCTTTCTTTATTTCTGTTCTTAATCTACTCTTTTCCTACTCTCACAGCACAATCTTTTCCAAAGCGAGCTTTAAGTTATCCTTAAGTAAGCAAGTTTTGAATGTATAGTGTACAGTGTCTTTCTGAGCCTTCTTAGGGTCACATCCAGGCCAACAATTCTCAAACGTAACCCAATCCTGGCATCTATAACACCTTTTCAATAACTTAAACTACCTCTAACCATACTTAAGTTTACTAGTCTATATTATCTACTTCCAATCTACCAACCTAATAACTGTATATTTAACACAAATTAAGTTTATAGATTAATCTAACACTGAAAATCTCCTATTATCTAATATCAATATTTTTAATTAAAAGAACACACCTCTAGTTACACATAACTAACTGATAATTTAAATAATTTTCTAATAATTCATAACCTATAACTTAGCATTACTACCTAAAAACAGCATTTAGTTGGGACTCTTGCACAAAATATTAACACTTTTTTAAATATTACAGTGGGTGGTCTGATTGAAAAGATTAAAAATGAACAGACCCATATCACTATTACTATTAGATGCAATAGGTTTAAAGCAAAATACATTCACCTACAGCTTTGTCCTTTGATAAATCATTTTTTCAGTTTTGTAATATGGTATGTGATAATAATAGCACCAGTAACAATCACAAACATACAATTTTGTTGTTTTATATAATTTTGTTTTGGAAAGACAAAGTATCATTTTAGGTGTGTCATTTACTTCTAAAGTTAAGTTGAAAATTTTAATCTTTTTTTAATAAAAAAAACTACAATAATTAGTTAGGAAAGAAAACTTTTTTCAACCAGGTTTAGTATTAAAAGTTTTGTTTTGAGTTTACTTACTGATTAATTATATTATATACAAGTTACAGCTTTTACAGTAAGAAAGATTTGTTTTTATAACAAGTACGATGTTTCGATCATTCTCAAGTATACAAGTTTTAATTGTAAAGAACTGTTAGACTGTTGAATGTTGATTTAAATACGAAAACGTTCTGTACTATTAAAACTAATGTGCTTGTGAATGATTGCACCAGTTATTGAGACATTGTATCTGTTCTAAAATTAAAAACAAAACTTACTGAAATTACTGTAAAAGCAGGGTTAGTATTGTATATTAGGAACAATCCAATCTAAATCTTTTTAAAGTAATCTTTGAAAAACATTCTCACATGTTGCTAAGTTAAACTTAATACTAATAGACCATCTTTTTTAAACATAAGGACCATATTGAAGGTATTATCAAGAATTTCCTTTCTTTAAATATGACAAAAACCAATAAGCATGCCTCAACGTTTTATTTAACTCATTGTTTTATTTCTTTAGGTTCCAGCTTACTTATACACTATAAGTATAATACAAAGCAACTTATCCCACCCCACATCCACAGTTTAATAAATTAATTCCACTGATATAATTATAAATCATTACTTCAGGTTCTTGTACATTTATAACTCATTATACTCTTTTCAAAGATTTCAAATGTAATAAATTTAATATTGTACATCTAGTTTACTTACAATTTATACCGTGAAACTTGGGTGTGCCGTATATTTGCGCAATTTCTTTCACTTTCGACAGTATGAAAACCATGGCATAAGTATTAAATTAGCACACTGTCTAATTTATAACTCATAACCGAGTTAACAAGAAATACCAAGTTAATAGATATTTATAATAACCAATTACTATTAAAGTATGCAATGTCAAGAAAATGTCACATACACAAAATTATGTTCAAAACATTGAATATAAACATTACATTTACAGCCCTAACTGATTACGCTCGCTTGTGATAGGCTTAACCGTCGTCCACATACCATACATATCTAAAAGGATATCAACATACACGTACCACACAACCAACAGTTCTGTCAAACAGGGCCGTAAGTAAAATCTGGAACAATGAAATCCGCGAACGACAACATCGAACCTGAAAATCACGACGTTATGCAATTAATTTCGTCTTTATGACTAAATTATTTTTTTAATTGTTAGACAAAAATTTGAATTTGGCATTTATTAAAAAATCATTTTATGATTGTAACCAGGTAAAAGATTTAATCTAGAGCCAAAGTAGCCCATTTACAGCTTTAAGGGGCAGGCGTGATCTATTCAGGAGCATAGTGGCCTACAGATTGAAAAAGTCAAGGATCGAACCATCATGATGAACATGACCCGCACTCTCAACTGTGGAGTGTTATAGCTGTAAAAATCGATCTCATTATTCGGTTAAGATTAGCCTCATGAGTGATAGATGTTGCTGACCATTACCCTCTTTTTTATCTGGACAACAATTCTAAGTTAACAGTGATTAAACCCGTATTTTTGGATCGCTTACCTAGCTATTAGTCGCATAAAGTTCCATTCAAGTTGGAAACACTGTTACGACAGCGGAAGTCAGTGACGCTAGTAACACGTCAAGAGATTCTAGAACGATCGGGGAACATCACGAATAATCCAGTATTTGCTAGACGCCCTCTATTCTTGTATATAAGTGCGCCAGATAAAGCGAGACAATGAAGATATCCATTCCACGTTTAGCTATCGACCTCGTCACACGCCACTATGCAGAGTGTCTCGTTTCCTACGCCGCCGTTGATTATCGACGGACTACCTATTGACTTCTCGCCGCGAGACACGGCCAACTTTATCCGCCGCTTAAACCCCAAGCCCGAGTGTTCCCTGAGCGAACCAGACGCCTACGGAAAGGAGGTTTACTCCTTCAACCCAAGACACCAGACGATTATAAATACCTAAACCAACCATGGTCCTCAAATACTCCCGTCACCTGCCAACCCCCCAAAAGTAATGCCAGCCTCCATACGATATTTCTACGGAATGTGCACATATCCTTCATGCCCGAAGAAATACGCCAAGCCCTGCTTACCACAACCAATTCCAAGATCCACGCTGTCCATCGCATCCGGTCCAAGAAAACAGGCTTACCCTCCACTTTCATGAAAGTTGTTACTACATCCAAACAGACTGCAGATCTCATTCTCTCCCAAGGCTGCTTCCTCGACTATCATCACTTCAGGGCAGAAAAACCCTACCGCAAGCCTCACCCACCCCATACCTTTTCTAATCCAACCCCCATGCCTACATTTCTTAACACCACGAAATCAACCGCCGTCAACCAGATCCCTACCATCCACCCCAGAACATCCGATCAAGCTACCCAAACTTCTCCGACTCGTAAAACACGTGAGATGTCCACACAAACCACCACTGCAAGGAGGAAAAAAAGGCACCCAGACACAGCCACCACTTACCACTGACGCCATTCAACAAACCACCAGCATGCATCCCAGCCCCAAGCCATTGTCTCCAACACCTTCAACGTCTAACTCATCGGACGCCCTAGTTATCGACATCTCCCCCGACCCCCACCCACCTGACGAACCTTTCTCAGCCTTCCGATTTCTCGCCTCCGACACCGAGAACCCCATGCCTTTACCTCGAGCCCGGAGCCAGAAACTTAGCCTGTTCACTGCCACAATAAACTCCAGGAGACTGCACAACGATTACAAGAATTAATCACCCCCCAGCACTGGTCTTCACTTTGCCTTCCCTACTTGCGACTTACTTCTTCTCAATAATAGAGCACTGGTAGCAGATCAGACGTTACCAGTGAAAGTGGGTTTTCCCGGGGCACTCCCGTTTCCCCCACATTAAATTCTCGGCATAGGACTTCTAAATCCCCGCCGCCCTGAAGGACCATCTGTCTGATATCGGCCGTTTTGTGTTGTGTTTTGTCTAGCCTTAAGGTACTCTGCTTCACTTTTTTAATTTTCTTCTTTTGTTTACTTAATTACCCTTAGCCCATTCGGCTCAGTACTCCGCTGACCTCTAAACGTCATGTAACCTTTTACCACGAGCGGGGTGAAGGAGGATTGCTTAATTTTCGAGCACCCCAGATTAATAATTATTTCATTCGGAAATAATTATTTTTAAATCTAAATAACTGCCAGAGAAAACCGAAACCGAGACAATGAATCGGAATTGAATAGCGGACAGAGAGATTGAAGATATAGACGGACAATTGAGTCAAGCGCGGTAGTAAGTAAAGTGCGTGAATCGTTCGTTGAGAATTATAGCGTATGTTGAAGTGACTGTGGAAATTAAGTGTCTTGCAAAGTTGTATTGAGAAAGAATAAACTAGTTTTATTTCAGAAAGGACTTGTATCCCTGAAATTTCTCGGGAAGAATTTCTACCGGAAATTATCAAACGAGCAGAGACGTAACAAATTGGTGTCAGAGAGTGGGATAAAAAAGAAGATGGAAACGAGAAGTGGCAAACCAAAATACAGCTTACTTCACGTGTTACCAGGGTCACGTGACTTCCGCTGTCGTAACAATATCTAATTTTAGGCCATTGAAGTATTTAGTGTAAAATGGCGAGGAATATTCAGTTATAAAACTGTGTTATATGCGCATTATTATTTGGTTGTGTAAGAGCAAAGCGACATTGGATTATCTGCTGTGCCCACCGCGGGAATCGAGCCCCGGATTTTATCGTTGAAAGTCTGTGGACTTAACGCTGTCCTACAGAGGGACATCTACATTATTAAGTATGCGTAATGATATAATGATGTCCAGATTGCCATGTTCGGATAAATTCACATAGAATAATGATATAATGATGTCCATATAGGATACTTGCAAAAGAAAAAAAAAAGTTCCCCAGTGTTTCAGCAGTAAGCTCCCCACCGAATATGACGTTAAGAATCGGGTTTCAATACGCATGTTGGGCACATCACATTAACTACAAACAAATACTTAAGCTATCATGGGCACGGCTACTTTTGTATCATTACGCGCGTTCAAAAAATTAAAAACGACCATGGGCAGTAATTATTTGTCTTCTTTTAAGCGCAAAGTTGCACAATATGTTCTCTACGTTGCACCCATCTAAAGATCGAGCCCCGAATGTTAGCGTTATAAGCTTTCAAGATTACCGCTGAGCCTTCAGGTGGAGAGGATTTCTTTATGTCACTTGTTTGTGCTAAGGTGTTTGTTGAGTATTTTGGAGATATAAAAATTACTTTGAAGACAGACACTTTTTGTAAATATTTAAGTAACTACCCTTCGAAAAATGCCAATGATACTTTGACGTTACCGTAATTATAAGTCAAATTTCGAAAAAAATTGGATACGGTATAATCAATATAAATGTTGATAATGATGTTTAGATATTTTGGAAGGTCGGGCGTGATCTAACTGTGTGCCAAGAGTGTAAATCCGAGAGTTCCTAGTATACATCCAATTCCCACAAAAAAAACGCTCTTCGACCAGAGTAACTTGAGATTTGAGAGTGTCTGCTGTTAACTAACTGTATTTGTGTGAATATCCAAAACAAAAAAACAGTAATACATCCCTGTACCGTATAACAATTGTCTATGGTACCGACAAAATTCATCAGGTTTAAGAAGAGAGTGTTTACGAATAATAGGTAGTTAAAATGTTTAATGAAGATGTATTGAGAAACTTTTTTTACATTTTGATTTTTTCTTTTTGTAGTGCTTTAAAGCTCATCAAGTACAATAAGGTTATAACCGCACACTTGGATAATCATTTACTTCATTAATATTTCAATATATTATTCTAAAATGACTTACTCTCTTATAAATATATATATTTATTTGTTACCGTATTCGTAGAGTATGTTAGTCCACGTTTTACCTAATGCCAAAAAAAACAAAAAACTGGATGTTGAAATTACCAGTAAAAACAAACTACAGCTCTCACTTAACTTTGCAGCGCCAACTATAACTGTAACTATATAATTTAATTAAGTCAACTTGTATGTGCAATTTATGTATTGCATATTTCATGGTTACCCACAAAAATTACAAAGTAACTTGTCAGTTTATAGATATCAATACTGTTTGAAAACTGACAATTTAACTGAGTAATGTAGTTCTTGATTTATACGCCTATCAAGTCTAAAGCGTTCGGCCTTGATCTCAAGATCTCGCAATAGTTAGCCAGTGACGTGCACAGGTGGGTTGGTTAAGTGGGCTTAAGCATCTGCTTTCCTGTCATTATGCTCCAACAGTGTCCTTTTTTCACTGTCATAAAAATTGTAAACAACTATGAAAGAAACACTCAATTTCGCATCTTTTTTGCTACAACATATTTAAATTAAAAGGAACACAACGACTTGTAAGATTTCACAGTAATATATAACTGTGATGTACTATTAAGAGTTAATACGCAAGAATATACTGTTCAGTTTAAGATAATAAAAGTGGTTATAAGACGAAATTACTTGAAATAAAAGAGGATCTGTTTGCTTCTTATGGATGTTTGCCATATGTGTATCACAGTCAACCCATAGTCCTCACAGTTTATTCCAATCTCCCCCCCCCCAAAAAAAGGCTTGCCTTACGATAGTGCCTTTTTTTTGTTAATTTGGAAAAAAATAATGGGTCAGAAATGCACTCCCGGGTCCTTGAAAATCCTCCCACACCATTCCCAACTTACGTAGAAGAATACGAGCTCTTACCACTTCAGACGTGGGAGATCTGGTAATGTGATAGTTTTGCCAATATAGCAACGCCACATCGGGCTATCTGCTGTGTTCACTGGGTGGAATCGAACCCCTGATTTTAGCGTTGCAAATCCGAAGATTTACAGCTGTTTCACCGGGGAACAGGTACGTGATAGATGGTTTGTGAGAGTTTACCTATGAAGTTTGACAATTTTACAGTTAATTGTTCGTTTACGTACGTTTCAATTTCAGTTTTTCCTTTTGTGCTTAGAAAGTTATACTATTTATATAACTTTTTTAAGTATTTACTTTGTATTTATGGTAAAACTAATTTT